TGATTTTGAAGATGATTTCAGTTTAGCAGTATATATTTAAATCAAGATGTTCGAATAAATTGAGAAGATTAGAAGCTGAGGGCACCAAACAGATAGGAGATTAAAGGGAAACCTGATTCTTTGACTGTGACACTGAGGGGACTGATCGATGATGCTGTCAAGGTTTGAAGTTCTTACTTCTTAAATAAGGAGTTACATGGAAATTCATAATATTGGGTTAAACAGGTTAAACAGAACTCTTGCTTTGGACGGATACTGCAGAACAAATTATTCATCATTTGGAAGTTTTTTTCTTTTTGTCCTCGTGTCACCCTTCCTGAAACCATAGGCACAGAAACATTTACCAAAAGGAGACTTTAGTGTAATGAAACACCCAGTAACACACCACACGGGTCAAATCTGTGCAGATTTGTTTTATAAACCACTCCGTTTGATGACAAATGCACTTGTAGCTTAAAATGAATCCAGGTACTGAATATACAGATAGTAAAGTATTACAGTGTTACCTCAGACACACAGCTAATACTACTGACGTGATTTCTCTGCATCCTTAGATTTGACAGCAAGAGCTCAAACTGGCCCATTAACTTCCTGGGTGGCTGTAGCTCAGGAGGTAGAGCAGGTCCTCTACTAATCACGAGGTTCACCGTTTGCTCCCTGCCTGCTGTAATCTTCATTGGGCAAGATACTAACCCCAAATTGCTCTCCAGTGCATCCATTGGCATGTGAACATTAAATAAAAAGCACATAAGCATAAAAAACGTGCTGGAGCACGAGGTATAAAACGAGTCCCTTTACCATCCTGCACAGCTTTCACTCCTGGATCAGGCCATGAAGCTCTCCCTGCTGCTACCTTCTGTTGAATCATAGTTTCTTTGTTTCCTCATTTAGAAACATCAGGACCTGTCTCTGCTTCAGCACTTAAACCGATGCATTTAAGAAGCACTCCCCTTTAGCAAACCATGGTATGTGTAAATGTTCGACATGTGCAAAGGAAGTGTTGCTTTTGTTACAGCAGAGATTGTTAGCTTTGGCTGGTACAGTCCAAGCAAACTTTTAAACATTTCTCTCTCTGTCTCTCACACTAATCTCTCCTCTGGAGCAATAAAAATGTATTTTAGGCATAAACTTTAATTTTACTGCAGGAGGTGAGTGAGTAAGATAGATCATTAACTCAATTCAACTTTATTTACACAGCGCCAAATCACAACAACAGTCACCTCAAGGTGCTTTATACTGTACAGTAGACCCTACAATAATACATACAGAGAAAAACCCAACAATCATATGACCCCCTATGAGCAGCACTTTGGTGACAGTGGGAAGGAAAAACTCCCTTTTAACAGGAAGAAACCTCCAGCAGAACCAGGCTCAGGGAGGGGCGGGGCCTGCTGCGATTGGTTGGGGTGAGAGAAGGAGGACAGGATAAAGACATGCTGTGGAAGAGAGACAGAGGTTAATAACAGATATGATGCAATGCAGAGAGGTCTGTGAACACAAGAACTTGTATATAAGGAGCAGGCTTTTGAATTCAGTTCTGGATTTAACAGGAAGTCCATGAAGGAGAAATCTGCTCTCCTTCTCAGCACAGACGAGACACACAGTGGCCACAGCCTGATCATCCGACTGCATTCGATTAGACTTGATCTGTGACTGTTACTGGGTCGGACGTGGTAGCGCAGTAGTGACATGAGGCAGATGCTGTGTGACTGATGGAAAAGAGTGCATGCTTGAAGGAAGCGCTTGACTTAAGCAAAACATTTTAAATAAATGATCCTAATTGTAAAGACAGGCGGGAGACAACAACATGTGGACTGGTTGGGAATAAACCAGACACTGAGACTGTGGATCATCAGAGTAGCATAGGCTCAGTGTCTTTTTGCCCAACAGCAGATTGACCAAATCTTTGGCTTCTGTAACCAGATTAGTTCTTTGAATTCAGCATTTCAGTATGAGAAACACACTGATGGGCTACATCTCTTTCATAAATGTATCTGATTTTTTTCAAAACAATGGCGATTTCTCTCTTGTGCGCTCACAATCCTCTTTAGTAACTAAGCACCATGTCCTCATCACATGGACACACGGTGGGTTTGCACAGCGTGTATGTTGGAGTTCATCCTCAGTTACTAAAAGCCTGACAGCCTTCACCGGTCCTGCCTCTGAGGAGGATTCAACCAGTGAGGGACAACGGTGTGATCATACAGACTCGTTTGCTGCTCGTCTGCTGTGGTGGAAGAAGCGTGTGCAGCATCGAATGTATGTTTTTTCCTCGATTCTGAAATGGGACACATCTCCCAGCTCTCCTTAGCCGCACCGCTCCACTGGCTTCTGTGTCTTGAAGCTGTGTCAGATGGATAGCAGAGGTGTTTTTGAAGTGGGCGGACAAGCTGTGGATAAGTGCACACGACAGCTGGGACATGTTAAAATGGCAGAATTCATTTTTGCAGTAGAAGCGAGCTTCTCCTGTTTGTTTCCCTCCACTGTCAACGTCTGTCTTCAGTTTGTTTTGGTAGTTCTGCTGATACGATTTCTTGGTCTCACTGGTTCCAAAAAACCTGTTGACATGAAAACTGGCCCCTAACCCTAACAGCTCCATTTTCAGACTTGTCATGCGTTTGTGTCAGTGCACCAGTCCTGCTCTCTTCTTGTGAAGATACCTCCACTTGGGGCAGCCACTGGCTCCCAAACCAGAGCGGCCATCCCAGTACAAGCTGGAGGTCATATCTTGATGAAACCAACAGAACTGCATCATCTGGGAAAAGCAGAGACGAGACAACCCCCCCCAGCCTCACCCCGAGGTTTGCCTACCCAACAGACTCTTCTCTTCAGCACCTTTGCACCCCTCACTGTCGCTGGCCACGTCCCTACTGATGATGCACAACGAGACAGCGAGTCCCAATGTGTAGCACTTTCCCCGCCCTGCCCCACGACTCCAAACAGCATAGTTATTCTGAACAGCTGTTTGGGGTGTAACTACTAATAATAGCCAGAACCTGTTTCCCCGTCTGATGGAGCACTGAGGAAAACTCTGATCTACAGGCTTCATGCTTCTCTCACCCCAACCGGTCGCAGCAGATGGCCCCGCCCCTCCCTGAGCCTGGTTCTGCCAGAGGTTTCTTCCTGTTAAAAGGGAGTTTTTCCTTCCCACTGTCGCCAAAGTGCTTGCTCATAGGGGGTCACATGATTGTTGGGGTTTTCTCTGTATCTATGAAGCGCCTTGAGGCGACTTATGTTGTGATTTGGCGCTATATAAATAGAATTGAATTGAATTGAATTGGGGACACAAGTAAACCTCACCTGTCCATTTCTTCTTCATGAAACTGGTCCCACAACCTGAGCTGTACACGTATCTCTCACCCTCACACGCTCTGGGTCCTTCCCAGCAAACAGATGACATTCAGCATCACCTGAAGCCAGTTTAAGCAGCCAGTGATTGGATCACCATGATCTCTGTCCCCAGTGAACCAACAGACGTATCCAGGAGAGAAAATGGGACAAGCAGTGAGATCTGCCCTTCCTGTACTTGTGCCCATAGTTATGTGTGCTGTCATTAGCTTTATTATTATAGCTTCAGTTTAGGTTCAGTCTCCTGATGAGATGTTTTAGCTTGTACAGAGAAACATGATTGCACTGTAGCTCAGTGAATGCAAATCTTAGTTAAGCTGGTATTGTACTGCAACTGAGTGAAGTAAGAGGCCGGGTGAGAAGCAACATCAGCTGACCAAGTCTCATAGTCACTGAATCAGCTGCTCCCTGAATCCACCTGCACAGCAGGACAGGTGACACGAGTTCTTTGACATTTCAGAGCCAGTTTTGGACGGTGTTTTAGGAAGTAGGAAGCAACAACTCTGTATGAGTGCGACGTACACGATGGCCTTGACATAACAGCAGCAGTCACTGCTCTTTCCTCTGTTTATTGTTACTGTCTGTAAAAAGGGAGGAAAGTGCAATAGTCTGTTCTTCTGCACACCAGATGCTCTTCATTCCTTCCCCTTTAATTCACATTTTCATAATGTGATCTTTTTTCTTTGTAAAAACGAAGAGGACAGGATGTATTCTTGTATATAGAGTTTACACAGTGTTTACTGGTTAAATGTATTTATTGGAAATGACAGGGATGCTTTTTTCCTCCACACATGTGAAAGTGCCAATGATGAAACGATGGCTTTAGGTTTGAATGCCGTAACATGGACTAAGGCTGTTTTCTGAATTTTATTTTTAAGAATCTCAGGATTGGGAACAAACTAGCACTTTCAACAATGTATGAGCTCAGACATGAATCCATGTTTTAGGTGCAACTGTGTGGGTTTTTTCTAAGCTGAACACAAACACACTCCGGCTGTTGGTGTTAGAAGTAAAGAACAAGTCGCCTCCTGTGGTTCTTGTTACTGCGCTGATTTTGATCCTTTTTCACGCCTTCCCAATCTTTTGTTTTGGTTTGTTAAATCCTTTCTTATTTAATGTGCCCTCTCTCCTTTGAGTTGTTGGTTATCACTTACTGATTAAAGAATTATACTGATAAATCTCAGTGTCGTGATTACTGCACAGCCCATTGAGACAACTGATTTGTGATTTACTCAAAATCCGGAAAGCGACTGCGTTCAGACGGTGATGATCAGCTAATTAATGAGAAAACATTCAGGTTAAAAAACTAGGAGCATGCTTGAACCATGCATACAGATGTGCACAGACCACAACTTTCCACAGAGATTAAACTCCATGTTATGATACTGCACAGCTGCGAGTGTGAATGTGGAAGTTTGTCATAGATTTAAAAAAGACGAATTAAATGATGCACAACTGTGTCTGACTTTATGTGCAATGTGTTCTCTTCAGTGATCCACGCGTGTCAGTAGAGCCTAAATGATCACGTCACCCTTAAAACGAATGCTGGGAGATGTGAAGGTCGCGCCCAGGCGGGGAAACAGCGACGCCTAACGGTGACGCACAGCAAACAAGAAGGACGTGAAGGAATTTCCGCTGACGTCACCGCGTATGGCCATATCAGGGCTGCAGCTGTCCGAGAGCAACAATAACAAGCGCTACTCCGCAGCCTGAGCGCAGCTTTAACGGCGCTGACAGCACCGAATACCGTCGAAATGCTCAAAATGCAGCTTTCGAATTAACTCTGCCGTTTGTTTCTTTGTCCTCCGAGCTGAACTCCGGCTGTCGTTCACGCTGACGCCGCCGAACACAGACTCGGGCGCAGGGGGAGCTTTGCAATTTGCGGCTGCATCTGGGTCAGTGGGCCCGACGTTAACCGCACCAGAGGTTTGCTTATCCCCGTGGACCTGTCAGCTGTTCGTACACGCACCATATCGCCGTTATAAACCGTGGCAACATGGAGGCTAACGGTGGAGGACAGGACCGGGATTCCGAGCTCTCCTGTCGAAACGGTACTCAGAATGGCGAGTCGTCCTCCACCGTGGCCGCTCACTCCAACGGACTTATCTCGGTAACCAACAATGGCAACGCTGTCAGCAACAACAACGGAGTGGCAGCCCAGCCCGCCTCCAACAACAACAGCAGCAGCGCGGCGGATGGCGGGTCGGGTGTCAAGAAGAAGAAGCGCCTGTCTCAGTCCGAGGAGGATGTCATCAGGCTCATAGGACAACATCTGAACGATTTAGGTCTCAAGTAAGTGAGCCAGCTCAGGTAGCTAGTGTTGTTATCAGCATAGCCAGCCGCGGTGATGGCAGGTCACCGTGAAGATGCTGAGGATGCATCCTTCCTCACGCGTTTATCTGCAGGTGCAGAGCGATAGAGGAGTAGGCCCGCTCAGGGCAAAGTGTCACATACACGCTAATAAACTGTATCCGACCCACGGTATCCGGACCTGTGTATCACCATACGCTGCAAATCTTATAAGATAAGATAAGATAACCTTTATTAGTCCCACACGTGGGAAATTTGTTTTGTCACAGCAGGAAGTGGACAGTGCAAAAGTTATGAGGCAAAAATTAGAATACAATAAGAATAAATACAGTACACGGCTGTACAGAATAGAATAAAATAAAATACTATATACAGTAGAATAAAATAAAATAAATATACAATAAGATAAAAATAGAATACAAATTCTATATACAACTGAGTAAAAATACAACGATGACAGAAAGGATTATTGCACTTAGTATTATTGCACATGTATGGATGTGTGTGCTTGATCAGTTGATTGATTATATGAGGTGTTTTAAGCAAATCTCCAACCATGAGCTGTCAGAACGTGATCGCACAACTCAAGGCAATTTAAATCTGAAAATCCTGCACAGATGTCATGCGTGGGGACTTTCCTGGGTTAGAGTGGGTCTTTGATAGCTGGCTACACGTTGTGTTTACGTGTAGTAACAGTAAGGACTCTGTGATAAGTGACACACATCTCTGCATTTTAATGCTTGTTACGTTTTTATATGAAGGATGGACCTTAATCTTATTATAGTCCAGCTTTTTATTTCACCCATGACACAACTTTGCAGTCAGTGTGTTGATAATTCTCACAGGTGAGTGCTGATGCTTCGCCATGCTCCGTAGTCATAACGTGGATGTTTCTTTTCGCTGTTCATAGCCAGACGGTGGACCTCCTGATGCAGGAGTCTGGCTGCAGACTGGAACACCCCTCTGCCACCAAGTTTCGCAATCACGTCATTGAAGGAGAGTGGGACAAGGTGCAACCAAGTTCTCCGAACTGCATATTAAATCTTTAGGAGGCTGTTACAGTAGTCACCGTAGTAGTAAAGGTTTGAGTGTGAGCTCTTTGCTGGTCTGTTAATGAGTTTGTATTTCTCCTTTTCATACAGGCTGAGAGTGACCTGAATGAGCTGAAGGCACTGATGCATTCTCCTAGTGCTATAGTGGTGAGTGGACCAAACCTCAGACAACATCAGTTCACCATGAAGTCTGCAGTCTGAACACTGAGCCAGAATCAGACTTAGAATAAAGCCTCTTTCCTCGAGCTCAGACTGTACATTGATGGCATATCGTACAGGTACACTTATAAACAGAACTGCAACCATCACACCTTCTATGCTGTTCTAAAGTAAACATGGCTGCCTGCAAGTTTGGCTAGCTAGGTTTGCTTAGAGACAGACGAATGGTGCACCGCTAATCTTACCCAAAGCACTTTAGTCTAGACGACACACTTCAGCAATGATCACTGGTTTGTTTGGGGTTTGTTTACTGCATCCACTGAGATTACACAGAGCAGTTTGAGATGAAATGATGAAAGACAGTTTACTGCACTTTTATTTTAGAAGTTCTTCCAAAGGAGTGCTAACTAACCGCTACGTGCAAACTAAACCAAATGAAAAACAAGTGTGACCTTTAACCTTTTAATTTAATAAACAAGAGAAACTAGAAAAACCAATGACCCCTGCTTCAGTGCTGTTTACAAATGGACAAGACCATTAACATTACTGTACACCAAACTCTTAAAGCCACAGATCACAGCAAACCTGACACACTGCTTCACAATATGGCCACTGTAGTGACAGTTAGCCAGCACCCTAATGTCCGAGACCAGGAGCCTCAGACATTAGCCTGGTCGGCTGGACGTCTTTGGAGAAGCTGCACATTTTTGACTCTAAACTGTGTTTGCATGTTTTTCAGAGCTCCCACATGTCCACTCATTCTACACCACAGTGATTGAATAACAGATGAACAGCTAAATTACACTATCAGCACTATAAATATCTGTTTGTTTTTACACCATGACTGTAAACAATACCAAAAGAAAAATCTATAAATAAACAGATAAATAAAACATGTCTGTGAATGAACACAAAGCTAGTTTTCTGATCACAGGGCAGTGGTGCAGGTGAGGTTTTACACATTTATTTCTCACAGAGTCGTGCTGACAGATCAGTTACTACATTTCTTTATCGTGTAGCTGAGATCCTTGAAATCGCACTTCTGTTCTTTGTAATCGGATTAAATGTGCAGTTAAACTACTTTAAACAGAACAGTGACGTTCACTCGTCCAGCCCAGATCAAAGTGACTGTATCACACTGACATGATGGACGCAGCATGAACAGCCATTGTTAGTCTGGTTGGTAACTGCATTTTCATCTTGATGTTTAAAGTTCCTTTAAAAGAGCCAGACGTGAGACGTGAAGCTCAGTAGCAACAGATTCGTGTTGTTACATGTCGGCTGATCCGTGGTGATCATTTAAATCCTTGTTTTTGTTTTTGCTCCCCGACAGCGGATGAAGTTCCTACTCCTGCAGCAGAAATATCTGGAATATCTGGAGGACGGGAAGGTGCTGGAGGCCCTGCAGGTCCTCAGAGCCGAACTCACCCCTCTCAAATATAACACGGAGCGCATCCACATCCTGAGCGGGTCAGTTCACAGCACACGAAGAAGCTGAGTGTGGTTCTGAGATGATGATGGAGAAATATAGCGTGCTATGTATTTGCGTCACAATGATGGATGACAGATGTGTAGTTTGTTAAAAGCACGATGCCTTGAAAACATTTCGAGATACTGGCAGCTGTAAAGATGCTGAGATGCATGAACAATTCAAACAGGAATTAGCCTTACAATAAAACGTCCATCTACGTGTGCTCCCTGTAAAAGCTGACGTGGGTGTTTCTGATAGTAGCTGGCTTTGTGTTTGTAGGTACCTGATGTGCAGTCATGCAGAGGACCTGCGAGCCAAAGCTGAGTGGGAGGGCAAAGGCACAGCATCGCGCACCAAACTGCTGGACAAACTCCAAAGTGAGTGCAGTGACTCACACGGTCACATGTCAGTGTGTACACTGGCTGACAAGCAAAGGAGTAACTCCTATACGCAGTACCCACTCTGAAATTCTCTTACTGGTTCCCAGTTGACATTAGCATCTATTTCCTGACCAGTTATTATTCGTCCCTGGAAGGAGCCTTTTTTTCCAAATAGCAACATATTCTGGATATAAAATTTCAAATGAGTAATAACGATCTTTGTATGCAGGTGTGATCACAAGTGCTTTGAAAATCACCAAAAAACCCACCTGACATAAATTTGGCTGATCTTACATTAAAGATGCACAACAACCGTCGCCTCAAGGTGCTTTATATTGTAAGGTAGACCCTACAGTCACATGACCCTATGAGCAGCACTTTGGTGACAGTGGGAAGGAAACTCTGCACGAACGCTGCACTGAGGTCTAGCAGGACAAGCACAGAGATGAGTCCACTGTCAGAGGCCATAAGAAGATCATTTGTAACCTTCACTAAAGCTGTTTCTGTGCTGTGATGAGCTCTGAAACCTGACTGAAACTCTTCAAATAAACCTCTGCAGATGATCTGTTAGCTGTTTGACAACTACTCTTTCAAGGATGTTTGATATAAAGGAAGGTTGGAGATTGGCCTATAATTAGCTAAGACTGCTGGGTCTAGAGATGCTTTTTGAGTAAAGGTTTAACTACAGCTAGCTTGAAGGCCTGTGGTACATAGCCGATCATTAGAGATAGGTTGATCATATTTAAGATCAAAGAATTAATTAATGGCAGGACTTCTTTGAGCAGTTTTGTAGGAATGGGGTCTAAAAGACACGTTGATGGTTTGGAGGAAGTAATTATTATAATAATAATAATGGACTGGATTTATATAGCGCTTTTCAAGGCACCCAAAGCGCTTTACAATGCCACTATTCATTCACTCTCACATTCACACACTGGTGAAGTTATTGAAGTTAACTCAGAAAGATCAATTGGAGAAAAAGAGTCTAACTTAACATCAATGGTACTAAGAGTAGCTGTAGATAATATTACATCTGTGGGATGATTACTGGTCATTTTTTCTCTAATGATAAAAATGTTATTTGTGAAGAAGTTCATGAAGTCATTACTAGTTAAGGTTAAAGGGATGGTTGGCTCAACAGAGCTCTGACTGTTTGTCAGCCTGGCTACAGAGCTGAAGAGAAACCTGGGGTTGTTCTTATTTTCTTCAATCAGTGATGAATAGTAAGATGTTCTGGCTTTGCGGAGGGCTTTCTTATAAAGCAGCAAACTATTTCTCCAGGCTAAATGATGATCCTCTAAATTTGTGACACGCCATTTCCTCTCCAGATTACGAGTCATCTGCTTTAGGCTACGTGTTTGAGAATTATACCACGGAGTCAGGTACTTCTGATTAGAGACCTTAGTTTTCACAGGAGCTACAGTATCCAGAGTCATATGTAGTGAGGAGGTGAAATTATTAACAAGATGATCGACCTCTGTTGGGGTAGCGTTCAGATAGCTGCTCTGCTCTGTGTTGGTACAGGGCACTGAAGATGATCTATGCTCTAAATTAATTCTCTGTGTGTGTGTGTGTGTGTGTGTGTGTGTACAGCTTACCTGCCTCCGTCAGTGATGCTGCCTCCCCGTCGTCTGCAGACTCTCTTGAAGCAGGCTGTGGAGCTCCAGAGGGAGCGCTGCCTCTACCACAACACCAAACTGGACAGTGGTCTGGACTCTGTGTCTCTGCTGCTGGACCACTCCTGCAGCCGGTCAGTAAACACACACGCTGTTAAATACTGAGCTCCACATCAACTGATTGTGCTTCTTTCTGCTGCCCTGCAGGAGGAAACATTTAGTTTAGTGAACAGTCGGTAATCTAGACGATAAGAATGTCATCTGCATGTTTCCTTTATGCACAAGTCTGAGGCATGTTGGGCAAACCTGTGTGTCTGCTCATGTTTCTGATTTGTGTGTGTGTGTGTGTGTGTGTGTGTGTGTGTGTGTGTGTGTGTGTGTGTGTGTGTGTGTGTGTGTGTGTGTGTGTGTGTGCGTGTGTGTGTGTGTGTGTGTGTGTGTGTGTAAAGGAAACAGTTCCCCTGCTACACACAGCAGATTCTCACAGAACACTGCAATGAAGTCTGGTTCTGCAAGTTCTCCAACGATGGCACAAAACTGGCAACTGGCTCCAAAGACACCACAGTCATTGTGTGGCAAGTCGACATGGTAACCAGTCATTTGCTTATCAAGAGTTACACTTCAGAATAGCAACAATCAGTCAGTGAGTTATTACAACGGCTGTAGTAACTGGAACATGGATGTTTGTGTGTTGGGTCACAGGACATCCAGCAGCTGAAGTTGATGAAGACTCTTGAAGGTCATGCTTATGGTGTTTCCTACCTGGCATGGAGCCCTGATGATGCTTATCTGATAGCCTGCGGCCCTGACGACTGCTCCGAGCTGTGGCTGTGGAATGTGCAGGTACGGAAAGGAAGTACTGTCCATATAGCAAGGAGATGAGCATGTCCAGGAGGATGGCGAGGGCCTTTCTTTGGTCGGTCTGTTTTCACCGTGTGGGTTTACTCTGCGATTCCTCCAGCGTTCCAAACATGCTCAGCAGTGGTAGGCTCCATTCTCCCCCTGATCCTAAGGTGGATAAGTGGCCAAGGGGGAGCATGAATGGCTCAAAGCATTAACCAGCTGGGTCTCTGTGGTAGAGTGGCCAGATGGAAACCACTCCCCTGTAAATCTGGAGTTTGCTAAAAGTCACCTGAAGGACTCTCAGACCACGAGAAACAAAATTCTTTGGTCTGATGAAACACAGACTGAACTCTTTGAGCTGAATGAGTCACGTCTGAGGGAAACCAAGTGTTGCTCACCCGGCCAATCCCCCTGCAGTGAAGCATGGCAGTAGCACTGTCACGCTGTGGGGACACTTTCTGTGAGACTCGACTGGTCAGGGGAGAGGCAAAGATCAGTGCACCGGTGTGCAGAGACGTCCTTGATAATAAGCTCTGGACCTCGGACCGAGACAGTGACCCTAAGACGCCAGACTGAACATCTCTGGAGAGAGATCTGAAAATGGCCGTGCACTGACGCTCGCCATTAACCTGATGAAGTTTGAGGTTCTGCAAAGAAGACAGGCTGAGACTACCAAACATAGGTGTGCCAAGCTTATAGCATCATGTTCAATAAGACTGTATTAGCTGGGAAACAAAATATTGAGCAAAAGCTCTAAAATACACCTTACCTTTATTATTTGTAAAGAAATCATACTGCGTTCATGTGTTCCCCATCTTCTCCTGGACAAGGGTTAATGAAAGTTTGTCCAGGACACTGTGAGTGCCAACGTCTTTATGGCTTAGTACAGCGGTCTCCAACCTTTGTTGCGCCACCGACCGGTTTATGCCCGACAATATTTTCACGGACCGGCCGTTAAGGTGTCGCGGATAAATACAACAAAATAAAACCAGTACTGGTACCGAAAAAAAGAAGATTTATTCATAACACACGTGAAAAGACCCAGGAAAACCGAGTAAACGATAAAACGATAACAAAATAAAAACCCTGAAAACCAGACATTTCACAGCTGAGCCTCAGCTCTCGCGCCCCGGTACCAAACGACTCACGGACCGGTCCGAGGCCCCCCATCATTGTGACTCGAGTACAAATCTCATACTTGGAAATATTTGTACATCTGACAATTCAGGTGAGCGCTGAATAGCGACGTTCCAACTGTGTTCAGCGTGTGCACAGTCTGTGTTCATGTAGCAGCAGTACGATGAGTGCAGCTGATCAGATCAAAGCTTGCATGCAGCAGTGTGGACACGAAGGTGAAGATTGGGTTTGAGCATCGTCATCGCATCATGACATAATTGATGAAGCAACCTGCTGAATAATGAGTCCAGCTTTTCGATAGTTTGACCTCCCATAAAAGTGCTGCGCAGCAACCAGTGCAGGGAACATGAGCTCAGCTCTTTAAATCTGTTAATGATGTTGTATCTGAAGCTGAAGAAACCCTGAGTCCTTCTGGGTTTTTATGTTCAGAGATCACGCTCTCGCTGTAAAACGGTTTCCTCGTGCAGTCCATCTGAGCGCAGCTGTTGCCAGTTTACCGAGCTACCTGGAATATTTCTGCTCTAAAGGGTTAAAGATGATGAGAGTCTCAACATCAATAAATTGCCTGCACTTGTGAACAGTGCTCCAAGCTGACTGTGCACAGTAGATTTGTTAGAGTCGCTGCCTACAAGAAACCTGGCTGACATGAGAGATGCGTTTATGCACCGAAGAGCTGGAGAGCGAGTGAGAGTTGGCTGGGTTGTTAACTGATTATCAGTGCGTCCTGAAACGAGTCCTGCTCCACACCAGCTGCTTTGTTCGTGTGAAACTGGACCTGCAGACGTTCCTTTTCAATGTGACCTTTTCATAGACCAATCAGAGAAAACTGATCTCTGTGTGTTTAGTATGTTTGGTGTCTGATCTGTTCTGTGTGCTCTGGGCTCTACTGTACAGACGGGGGAGTTGCGAACAAAGATGAGTCAGTCCCACGAGGATAGCCTAACCAGCGTGGCCTGGAACCCAGATGGCAAACGCTTTGTCACCGGCGGCCAGAGGGGCCAGTTCTACCAGTGTGTGAGTATCCTCGCTGCATGGGCACTGTGTCCACAGGCTCCAACACAGCCTTACAGGCAGGAAACATTGTCTCCATGTCGTAGGAGAACAGCCAGACTGATTCAAACATGTGGAAAAACCAAGACAGGAAGCTTCTCTGAATGCACATCACACGGAGCCTTTCTTTCCTTAGAAGGGACGCTGCAGTTTAACATGGTGGAAAACATGAAGCTGATGCAACGCTTATAGCTGTTGCTAATTTTCAACCACTGTCTCTTGTTGGGCTACAATCACACATCAGACATTTTAGAATAAAACATACATTTTCATCCAAAATACACCATAAATACAACTACAAGTAATAGATGATAACTTTAAAAAGACAACAAACAAAAAACAAACAAACAACAACAACATTAATTAAAAGGAAGACAGCTCTGATTTCCCTTTAACCAAACTTTGACCTTTAACCTCCTCGGACCTGGCGTCCACGTATGTGGACATCACATGTTGGGTTATTTAGACCAAAATACTCAATTGTGCTCTACAAGGGCCTGATATCCACTTACGAGGACATTATCCTGCTACTGTCCTATTGAAAGTTTAAACAAATATCCTCATTTGTGGCTCTGATTTTTCTTAGAAACAAAAATAAGGTAAAAAAAATCTGTTAATTCTTTGTTTTTACATTCATCAGGTCCCAATCAGCCCGAATATCAAAGAGAAATTAAAAATGCTGCTGTGGAAGAGTTCAGGTCTCAGGAGGTTAAAGTAAAGAGACTGATGTCAGTTGGAAGTCTGTTCCAACACAAGCTTATTAACACAATTCAATTTCAGTCCAATTCAACTTTATTTACACAGCGCCAAATCACAACAAGTCGCCTCAAGGCGCTTTATATTGTAAGGTCGACCCCACAATAATAGATACAGAGAAAAACCCAACAATCATATGAGCCCCTATGAGCAGCACTTTGGCGACAGTGGGAAGGAAAAACTCCCTTTTAACAGGAAGAAACCTCCAGCAGAACCAGGCTCAGGGAGGGGCGGGGCCATCTGCTGTGATTGGTTGGGGTGAGAGAAGGAAGACAGGATAAAGACATGCTGTGGAAGAGAGACAGAGGGTAATAACAGATATGATTCAATGCAGAGAGGTCTGTTAACACATAGTGAGTGAGAAAGGTGACTGGAAAGGAAAAACTCAATGCATCATGGGAGTCCCCGGCAGCCTATGTCTATTGCAGCAACACACGTACAGCTACAGAGGGCGGAGCCTTACAAACACTAGACATAATGTAAACTATGAATTCTTGGAAAATCTGGTGTTTTAATGGTGTGGCCAGTTTTTATATAAATGATGTATGTTACAAACCACACATGTTTTTTGCAGTGAGACATCACTGACATCATTGTCCTGATACGCACAGATCATATGTAGTGAGCTGAGAACAAGACTTCACAAGACATCATTAGAATAAAGTGTAACTTAAAAATATGCCGACGAGTCAGAGCATGTCTGTTTAGTTTGTATACGTCTGCTGCGTTCATGAAAACATCCGTCTCGTTATCGTTGTCACTGTGAGAGCTCAGACTCTCCTCTTATTGAAGGTTTCAAGAACAACAAAAACAAACTGCATGTCAAACAGGAAAGCTTTAAATTTATTGAATTCATGTAGTAGCCTGAACCATTTTTTATAGTCATCTAATGTCCTAATGTTTAAAACAGCCTCGTACAGCTGGAGAGCACTTTAAGAAGGACAGTATGTGACAGTCTGGCCTCTTGTACAAACATAGACCTGATGACTCAAGACTTTTGCACAAACTAAGAGTTTAAAGAAATCTAGAGAATAAATCGAATCCTGAAGTCTGAACTGTCTGTTATTCAGCACCGTCCTGCGACCACGTCTCACATCATCATCAGTGGTTGTCATGTTGTTGTGATTTACTGTCCTCACAGTTTCTCAGCGTGATGACAGAATCGTTTCAGTGTAAAGAAACTGCACCTGTCTGTCTGCAGTTATAGTTTTCTCCACATTGCTACAGTCCACAGGTAGCATCCATCCCACTGCAAACCCTCCAGGAGCTGCACATTCTAGTTTTTATTATTATTGAAAAGGGACCACAAATTAAAAACATCCAATGAATCTGGGTGAGCGCTTGTGTCTCAGCTCATTGCTAAATATTTAGTGCAAAACCTCAGAAATATTTTTTAGCATTTTGCTGAATCTGTGATGCTCAAAATTAATTCAGTGTTAAAGTGAAAAGAAGGTTGCACCTGGTCCCACATAAAACTGTCCGGTGAGTGTTTCTGGACTGATAACAATCATTTCCAGGCTGACGTCCTCCTGCTTTTGCTTTGTTTCTGGTGAACTCCCAGGACTTGGATGGAAACCTCCTGGACTCCTGGGAGGGAGTTCGGGTGCAGTGCCTGTGGTGTCTCAGTGACGGCCGCACAGTCCTCGCATCTGACACCCACCAACGCATCCGAGGATACAATTTTGAGGACCTGACAGACAGAAACATGTACGTCATCAGAGTAACTGAAGTACTAATTAGTCATTACTTTAATAGTAAATGTATCTGTTCTGTCTTTCTGGAGACGTCTCTGCAACTGTTTTAAGGATCTGAGAAACTACTGAACACTTCAGTCCCAAAACACTGGTTGTAGAGATGTTTGCTGTCTACAGTCTGGAATACATCGATCTATTGGATCAGTTCACAAACGAGCAAGAGCAGAATGTCCTGTATGAGATGAGATTTAACAGCCACAGATATTCACTGCAAGTGTCTTAATGAATGTCAATAACGTCTCGTGATGAACTCAGCCAACAAAGGTCATGTTTGGCCTTATATCTGTGCGTCCATCAGTAGGTGTGTCAGCTGATACGTTTCTTACCAGTACCAGGTCCTACTACTTTAAGTATTAGACAATGTTAACCTTAAATAATCTTAATAAATAAGAAGAAATACTGAGTCCATCTTAGGAATCCCCAGCAGCCTACGTCTATTGCAGCATAATTAAGGGAGGATTCAGGGTCACCTGGTCCAGCCCTAACTATATGCTTTAGCAAAAAGGAAAGTTTGAAGCCTAATCTTGAAAGTAGAGATAGTGTCTGTCTCCTGAATCCAAACTGGAAGCTGGTTCCACAGAAGAGGGGCCTGAAAACTGAAGGCTCTGCCTCCCATTCTACTTTTAAATACTCTAGGAACAACAAGTAGGCCTGCAGAGCGAGAGCCAAGTGCTCTAATAGGGTGATATGGTACTACAAGGTCATTAAGATAAGATGGGGCCTGATTATTTAAGACCTTGTATGTGAGGAGCAGGATTTTGAATCCTGGATTTAACAGGAAGCCAAAACAGGAGAAATCTGCTCTCTCTTTCTAGTCCCTGTCAGGACTCTTGCTGCAGCATTTTGGATCAGCTGAAGGCTTTTCAGGAAGTTTTTAGGACTTCCTGATAATAATGAATTACAGTCGTCCAGCCTGGAAGTAATAAATGCATGAACTAGTTTTTCAGCGTCACTCTCAGACAGGATATTTCTAACTTTAGAGATGTTGCACAAATGGAAGAACGCAGTCTTACATATTTGTTTAATATGTGCGATGAAGGACATGTCCTGGTCAAAAATGACTCCAAGGTTCCTCACAGTGTTACTGGAGGCCAAGGTAATGCCATTCAGAGTAAGAGTCTGGTTAGATACCATATTTCTAAGCTTTTCAGGGCCGAGTACAATAACCTCAGTTTGATCTGAATTAAGAAGCAGAAAGTTAGCGGCCATCCAGGTCTTTATGTCTTTAAGACATTCCTGCAGTTTAACTCATTGGTGTGTGTTATCTGGCTTCATGGACAGATAGAGCTGGGTGTCATCAGCATAGCAGTGTAAATGTATGCTATGCCTTCTAATGATGCTGCCTAAGGGAAGCATGTATAATGTAAACAGAATTGGTCCTAGCACTGAACCCTGTGGAACTCCATAATTAACCTCAGTGTGTGAAGAGGACTCTCCATTTACATGCACAAACTGGACATTTCCAACCACTGTAGTGTAGCACCTTTAAATCATTATCTCTGTAATAAAATTTGTGGTCATCAGTATTGAACATGTTCACCTAACATGTGAAAGTTGGACTTATTAACTTCTGGTTGAAGACTGGAAGGTGTCACAAATTAGCATCAAGATGGGCCGTAAAAACGCTGCCACATGCTGAGCCGTCTCCTGTGGTGATCAGTGAATTAGGGAGGAGCAGTCAGAAGCCTCATTTCTAAAATAAACATGTTTGTGTATGTTGTCCTTCCAGAGTGCAGGAGGACCATCCCATTATGTCTTTCACTGTTTCCAAAAATGGAAGGTTAGCTCTGCTCAATGTTGCTACTCAGGTGAGCTCCTGATTACTTCCTGACATTTTGTTTCTTTCATCAGCTGCTTCACATCAGCTTTGTCTTGATTGTTGAAATGTGCCTCTTATTTGCAGGGAGTGCACCTTTGGGACCTGCAGGACCGGGTGCTGGTGAGGAAGTACCAAGGTGTCACCCAGGGTTTTTACACCATCCATTCCTGCTTCGGGGGGCACAATGAAGACTTCATTGCCAGTGGTAGTGAAGGTAAGACCAAAGCATGTTTAGTTCTAAGGAAGAAGAAAGCAAAAAGTGTCCTCCACAAATGTTGCTCTGTAAAGAGACATTCATACAAATATTGAACCCAAACGTTGTTCTTGATGCTAAAAGAAGGTTTTGTGCTGGTCATTAGTGTGATCCAACAAACTGCTGACGAGCTCGTCTCTCTCTTGTCAGACCACAAAGTTTACATCTGGCACCGGCGCAGTGAGCTGCCCATCGCAGAGCTGACCGGTCACACACGCACAGTCAACTGTGTGAGCTGGAACCCCGTGGTGCCCGGTCTGCTGGCCAGCGCCTCAGACGATGGAACCATCCGAATCTGGGGACCTGCGCCCTTCCTGGATGTCCAGGATGCAGAGGGACTGAATGGTATGAAAGTGAAACGATTTTGAAAGGCTAAAGGTAAAGTTCAGTCTCCACCAGAAAAGAAAGAAATTAAATTCTGGTAAAATAAAGTTGATAAACTGTCCTTCTGTGGAAAATCAGTGATTGGCCCACAGCTGAAAGTCAGATCAGATCTGTTCCAATCAAAGGCCAAGTTTGAGCATCAGTGTTGTACTTTTATTCATTTGTATTCTTTAATGTCTGTGGTCAGGTACATTTGTCACATTTGAGATTAAAGCAAAAAAAAAAAAATCAAAATATTTAAATAAGAATTTTGAACAAAGATTTCTTTCTCCTCTCTCAAGGAGAACATGGGGCTTACAGGAACTGCATCTTGGTGTGGAAACTCTGGCTTTATTTATCATTAGTGAGGCAGTGAGCTGTGCTCCACACAGCAGCTCACAGTCAGCAGATGTAGATGATGCAGGCGGTTCTGGAGTGAGCCGATCTGGGTGAGGGCACTCGCCCAGGTGTCTTCCTGCTCGCGCTGATACCTGAGTGACCTTGCAGGTCGGACCTTATCAGTCATACCTGTTACCAGCTGCCCTCTCGATCGTGGCTCTTGCTAATCTGGGTTGGTTTAAAGGCCTGTGCGATGGTACTCAGAAAGGCCAGAGCCTATTAGACTAATATGGGTTAATACTCAGAACATAATGTAATATAATTACATTAATATGTGTTTCTAGTCTTCTTGCCTAATGAAAGCACTTGTACAGGACTTTAATCTGTACCAGTTTAGCCCTTTATCTAGCTCACATACATGACCAGTAACTAACATTCTCAGGCGCTGTGAGGAGCTGTTGGTCAAGTGTTTGCTTGGTCAAAGTGACGCCCAGCAGCCTGTAATCACTGACGACGATGATGATGATGAGTAACGTGTGTTTCTTATCCTGCAGAGTGTTGCAGCATGGACAGCTGATGATCTGCCGCTAACACCCTGAAAGCATTGAGACTCTGTAGACACTTGAATGCATAAAGTGGGGACGTTTTTTAATTGGACAGCTGCATCTTGAAGGCGTGGCCTGTAGTGGGGCGCGCCTGGACGTCACAACACGAGCTGTCGAACTCGAGGCCGGGCTCCAGGACATCTGACCCACCTTCTCCTCCAATGTGGACCCGTTCCCTAGAACCACACAGGACCACCAGCCTCCTGCTTTATTATAAAGTCCATTATTTATTCCTGAGTAGTTCACTGAGTAGTGCTAGGCGCCCGGTGGAGGCTTCGTCTCTGAGCTTCTCACATGAAGAAACTCTGACCCGTCGCTGAACCTTTTCTGAGACTCTAGCTGGAGCGATGGTTGGTGGAAGTGAGACCCACTCGAAGAGAATCTTTTAACTGCTATAGTCTGTTTTTGGTTTTGTTCCTTACTTTTAAATGTGGAGTTTCATGGCTTGGCTCCGTTGTGCTTTCCTGCTTAAACCCAGAGACAGAATCGTGTCCCAGGAGCATGTTGCATAGGAATCTGCATAACTCGTGTTTTACACTCGCAGTGTTCAAGTGTGTCAAGTGCTTTGCTGTTTGTGAGGGCGTACAGCAGCTGATGTGTACAGCTGTGTCATCATACGTGGATTATGGGATGTTGTTTCCTCTGTTCAAGTGTGGAGTTTCCTTTAATTCATGTTTTCACTCTTTGCTCTTTGATTGTGTTTCAGCCTGTTTCCTTCCTCTGTACAAACAACAGTCATGTTGTGTGTCTGTGTGTGTCTGCTATCTGTTTCATCGTTTGTCATCTTTATCGATGCTGTTGGTTCTGAGTGGAGGTGTAGCATAGAGACAGTCTGATTTCTGACAGATGTGTTTACATGAGGCTGTCAGTGAACCTCTCCGTGAACAGTGTGTCAATAATAATAACACAATCGTCTAACAAACCCAGGCTGACTAAACTAAAACTGCTGGCACGTCGTTTTTGAACACACTGATTGCCGTGACCACCCGCAGGCTCGTTTCCTTGAACTGTTAGTGAGATCTGGGTTGTGCATCTCAGTTTGTTTTGGTCCATTGAGAGAATGTTTGTAGTAGAAAACAACTTTCCTGACTTCCTTCATTTACGAGTGGCTGTAGGTCAGGAGGTAGAGCCGGCTCGATGGTTCGAACCCTGGCTCCCCCAGTCTGCAAGCCAAACATCCTTGGGCGGGATACTAAACCCAGACTTCTCTCCTCTGATGCATTTAGATAGAAAGCACTTGAAGTATGGTGAATGTGTATAAAGCACTATATAAGAGTCAGTCCATTTATCATGGTGGACTGATGACTCAGAGGGTTTTTGAAGTTTGTAGCTGTGCACATCTACGTAAAGGCTCCTGTGACAATGACGTCGGTTTGATTCGAAGCAGCTCGAGGGTCACCTCCTCCCTCCAGTGTTTGTGGGATTACTCAGTGCGACCAGTAAAGACAGACACATAAAAACAGAACATCTCTTTGTTATTAATTCAGTTCATCGTCTACTCTGGAATCTCACGCGAAGCCGCTGCATCTCTGCAGCTTAAAGGAATCTTTATTACTCCAAAAAGATTTGGGATCCACGTCATTTTGTAAATTACATTTTCTTAAGATAAAAAAGAAAACATTATCCTTAATGTTCGACACATCAGTAGGAAGCGAACAAAATGACAGAGCGTGTGACTTAATCTGAGTTTCCAAATGTTTCCTGTCTTGGGTCAAAGAGCCGTCTTCCTCCATGTGTGGTACACAGTTGTGTTATTCTGATATTTGTGTTTCGGGGTTTCGGTGCTTCTGGCTGAAATGAACAAACAACTGAAATTTGAATAATGCAGATCAGTTTTTATCCAAACAGCTTTTATACTCTCTGTAAGTCTATTCAGATTCTTTCCAGTTGTGAGCAACAGCTGGAAGACGGTGGGAACCCTGTTGTCTGTATCCATCAGCAGCTTCGCTCCTCCATCGCACACACAGACACACACAGTGCACAACAGCATCTCTCCCACAGCCCACACGTGGTGTTTGAGTTTCTGCTTCTGTGATCATTTCAGGCTTCTCTTCTTCAGTCAAGAAGCCAAAGTAGTAACTGTGTTTGCTTGCAGGCAGTTTTTGCCTGGAATTCAGTTTTAATGTGTTATTGCAAAAAGTGATTGTACTATTCAGTCTAGTTCTAGAATTATGTGTCCAGATTTTAAATAAAGCATTCGGGGTTTTAAAAAAAGGTTTTACGTGCAGCCTCCTTTGCATCGTTGTTCACAGAGTTTGTAATTAGGAAACGAGCGAGCGATGAAGTTTCAAGTGTTATTGTCATTTACCTGTAAAGGTGCAGAATGTCAGCTGTTCCTGATGGTTTGTGGGTAGAAACTGTCTCTGTGTCTGGATGCTCCTGAACCGCCACAGCAGGAGTGTGAAGAGGCTGTGGCTGCGATCAAACAGCCTCGTGCAGCGCTGTCTGCAGAGAACAGTCCCGGTGATGCGCTGTGCTGATCTCACCACCCTCTGCAGAGCTTTGCAGCGTTACAGCCGCCGTACCAGCCAGTCAGAATACTTGCAATGGTGCATCTGTAGAAGTTGGTAAGTATTCTGGGGTTCATGCCGAATCTTCTCAGGCGCTGCAGAAAGAAGAGCTGCTGTCTTGTTGCTTTTGTGATCACACCAACATGGTGTGACCAGCTCAGGTCAGGAAAAGAAACAAACTCTGCTGTCAGTGATTTCAGGTACTGCACAATTTTCAAACAAACAATACTTGCACTTCTTACATCGTACGTACCCTGTGCTTTCTGGGGTATGGGCCATACGTGGAGTGACTTAAAAATAGCTCACTTAAATGAAAGAGCAGAAAACGTGCATCCTTAGCTACCAGGCAGGAGCAAAAGAGCCAGACCACAGAGGAAGTTCACAGATGTACTGAAGGACAAGAGGATGCAGGTGGGTGGGATGAAGGTGGCTCCTAAAGGGAGCAGTTGAAAGTAGAAGGGAAAAAAGTACACTATGAATCCACATTTATTTTGATTACAGTTTTATTGGTTTTGCCTTCAATACAGTGGAGCACAATATCCATATGTGGTTTGGCACTGTGCAGGCATTCATGGCACTGAGAAAATACTTTTTGTTAGCCTGTTTTACATCTTCTGTTTTAGCCTCACTGCACTGGGTCCCTTCATTTTATTATTCTCTGTTTTTCAGTCTTCAAATCGTCTCCGAGCTCCTACATTTACACTCCCAGCCGCTCCGAACAGCTGACGTGCTGAGGACGCAGCTCAGAGGAGACAGAGACAAACATCTTCAACGAGCATTTTTAAGTCACTTCTTAAAACTCTTTTCAGTGGCGAATATATTTTTATTTTTTAAAGATCCTTGCTGCCCGCAGCCATACACTCGTCAAAGGACCTTTGACCTCTAAGTTTAATTCATTTTATTTACACAGCGCCAGATCACAACAACAGTCACCTGAAGGTGCTTTATATTGTAAGGTCGACCCTACTATAACAGATACAGAGAACAACCCAACAATCATATGACCCCCTATGAACAAGCACTTTGGTGACAGTGGGAAGGAAAAACTCCCTTTTAACAGGAAGAAACCTCCAGCAGAACCAGGCTCAGGGAGGGGCGGGGCCATCTGCTGTGATTGTTGTTGTTGCTGATAAAATTGAAGGTCAGATAGCAGCGAAGGGATAAAAGGGGCCACTGCAGCAGCCCCGCCCACCAGGTGATATGCCAGCAAGGCAAATATAATAGCCCTGCCCACAGTGACCTACGCCACCGCACCTCTCCATCAAGACTCTGCATGCGTGATACGTTATATGAGGGAGGTAGAGAACTAACCCTGGAAAGAGAGCCAGGAAGCAACTAGCTCAGCAGGCACCACACTCCACCACAAGGGGTGTGGGGCCCACCACACCATCACTCTGGAGCACCACGGAGTCCAGAGCAGCACAGAGAGTAGACTAGAGTCACAAGTCTCAACTGCACACTGTGTCACAACAGCAGACAGCCAGTACAGGGACAAGACAAACAGGTCTGGGTTGTTCCCTCACCTCGATGCCCCGCCCCACGGGCCTGTGGGAGACTTCCACAGATTTCTTCTTTTAGTTCAGCCACCGGCTGGCTAATAATCTGGATTTCATCCATTTTGAAATATAGCACTCGATTGGTTTAGAAGTTTACTGGGGAAAACAAGTAATTGATTTAGGCTGAATCATCCTTCTAATGATATATATCCCATGAGTGACATGCAGTAGTGTGAAAAAGTTTTCACCTGTCCTGATTTCCTGTTGTTTATTTTTTATGTTTGTCACACTAAAATGTTTCAAGAAAACATTTTTTATATTAGACAAAGATAACAAGAGTAAACACAAAATAAGGTGCAAACCTACATGTCCTACGTGAAAAGTGACTGCTCCTTAAACCTACTAACTGCTTGGGCGCCCTCAGCAGCAACAACTGCAATCCAGCGTTTGTGATCACTCCAATGAGTCTTTAAAGCGCTGTGGAGGACTTTGGGCCTACTTTGGAGAATTGGAGGGTTTTTAAGCATGAACCGCCTCTTTGAAGGTCACGCCACAGCACCTTTGGATCAGGCCACTCCAAAGTCTTGATTTCAATTTGTTTAAGCTATTCTTGGCTTGGATTTTTGTTCCCATTAATAATAAACACCTTAATTCAGAAACTGCATTTTGCGTTCACTTGCATTATCTTTGTCCAATATTTACATTTGTTCAATGATCCGAAACGTTTAAGTGTGACAAACATACAGAAAATAGGAGATCAGGGAGGCGGCAAACACGTGTGAGCTCATCCTCTACAGCAGGGGTGTCAAACTCAAACACACAGTGAGCCAAAATTCAAAACTGGAACAAAGTCGCGGGCTAACGTTAATATTCATTGAAATATATTTATTCCTCCAGATATAAGAATGAATCTTATGGACTCAAACACGTTTTGCTGAAAAACTGAATATGGAACAAGCAAAGCTTAATACTAAACAAACAGTGTTGGTCAAGTTACTTGAAAAAAGTAATCAGTAACTAATTACTGATTACTTCCCCAAAAAAGTAATCCCGTTACTTTACTGATTACTTATTTTCAAAAGTAATTAATTACTTAGTTACTTAGTTACTTTTTAACAACACGATTCACAACCTGAAGAGGTGATAAAGCGATAGATCTTTCAGCCCAATTCTACTTTTTCTGCATAATCCATCATACAAAATGTAATCAAATGGAAACGTCTCTTTTTTTAACTTGTTTTATTAGATTTAATCTTTTAACTTTATGCATCAAGCAAAACATTTAATTATATGCAACATTCTCTGATTTGAATAAATTAGTTTAACATTTAAACCTATTTTCTACACATTCCAGCACATAAAATAAAATATTTGTGTGTTTACACTCAGTCTTTCAAACAGATGCAAGTAAAACACAGCAGAACATAAATAAAGTCAAAGACTCAGCGGTCCTGTTGCTCTATTTTCACCTGTAAAGCAGGAGTGGAGCAGGCGGAGGTTTACCCTGGTGCAGGTGTGCCGCGGTCAGTGGAAGAATCCGCGAGTTTCTCTGTGAGTTTCCCATTACGTCGTAGCTACTCGGTGCTTGTTGGAAGTTTAGGGGTTTTTTCGGTGTAAAAAGAAGTTTTCTTCCCACGCACAGTGGACACTAATGTTTTTGTCACTTTTTATGGAATCAAACTCAAAGTAAGGTCAGTACTTCCACGCTTTAAACGCTGCACGCTCATACTCTCTCCGCACTCATATGTGATCCATTGTTGATCTGCACACAGCTGTTGTCACTAACGTCACACTCGCTTACGTCACTGTCGTGAGACATTCTCGCAGAAAAATCACGGTTTTAGTAACGCAGTAACGCAGCGTTCCTACGGGAAAGTAACGGTAATCTAATTACCGATTTTGCAATAGTAATCCCTTACTTTACTCGTTACTTGAAAAAGTAATCAGATTACAGTAACGCATTACAAGTAACGCGTTACTGCCCATCTCTGTAAACAATATATATATTAGCTGTATAATACCAGTAGGCCAGCTCTAATAGTAATTTGGTATGGTTTCATGGGGCCAGATTTGACGCCTATGCTCTACAGTGTTAAATGAACGTGACTCCACACCAGGCAGTGGCAGAAAGATTTATACCTACATATTTAATGTCAGCTGACTGTGGTGGAGTGGTGGTTTTGAAACTTATCTTTAAGTGTGATCCTCTTTAGGAGCGAGGTTTGTGAGTTCCTGTGAAACAGTGATGCATCATCAGCATACGGGCTTATTATGGTCTGTATTTTCAGACTGCTGCTGGTGGCTCGATAAAAATAACAAAAGCGAGTGGACTGGATACCCTCTGCCTGCTGTGAAGATCATAAACACAGATCCATAATGTAGCGATTCTCGGTCTGTAATAGTGTTGGGCACAGTGAAGCTTGTTTTTCTGCTAATTAAAATGGCTACGACTCTTTGTTTTGAGTTGCAACAGGCTGAGAATGTGTGAAGGAGCTGTGGCGTGTGCACGTTTCAGACACGTGCGTCTCCTGTAGTGAGACAACAGCAGTCGTTTACCTGATCAGTCACTTTTCCCTGGAATCAACTCCACGTACAACCAGTGTTGAAAAACCTCATTGTGGTCACGTGTAAACCAACTGGTGCAGTGCTGAATGTTCACTAAAGGTCGTCACCTTTTACATCATATATATCAATACATCAGTGTACATCACATATATATGACGTAAAAGGTGACGAGGGGAATAAGGCACTGCAACCTTCCAAGAACCGTTCTGAGTGACCAGAAATGTTACTGTATCATTTTTATATTTATTTTATATACATTTGATATTTATATAAAAATAAGGTTGAGTAGTAGAACATCCATTATGCACAAAATTACTTATGCTGTACTTAAAAGTACTTACAGTACAATTTGTCTTATTTCCTGAGAAATACCTGAAAGAAAGACAAGTTTAAGTGACCCCATAAAACATTGTGTGTGTTACCAGCAACCACAGAAATGCATATTTAAAGACGACCACGTTCACTTCCTGGTTTGTCGGGAGCAGCTCCTGAATCTGTTTGGCTGATAGCAGTTAAACTGTCATGAGCTGTGTGGCAGGCAGGGGTAGGACCCAACTGCAGGACTCAGAGACTCGAAGCAGAAGCTTTATTTGCTGTGAAAGATTAACTAAAAACAAAGTACATGAAGAAAGAAACAAAAGGTTAACTCGAAATAAGTCTTGAACTCGGGATACATGACAGGAACCAACTGCTAACGTGGAAACGACAATGAACGTGTTGAGATTGAAGACTTGAATACATGATAACAAGGGGACACAGCTGGGACTGATCAGACCTGACGAGACAGGCAGGAAGCAAAACTAAATATACTGAACACAGGACGAAGGACTACCACAATAAAACAGGAAACAGTCGACACACACAGAGAACAGGGGGAGTGACACAGCAGGAGACAGAACTTAACATGCACGAGAGACATGGCAGCAGACACTGCACAGAGCCACGAACAATACTAAACACGAGGATATAAAAGCAGGACACAGACACTGGGTGGACGACCCAGGACCACGACAACAAAACAAGAGCACGACCATCGGAACCAAAAGCAGGGAGATAAACTAAACCTTAGAAAATTGTTCAAACCATAATCTCAAAAAGACAAAAACATGAACCCTGACATAATCTGAAGTACCGTCCATGTGCAGCCACTATCTTACACATTCACACCGAAGAAATCCCCGAGATTACTCACAGGGCTGCGAAAGGCTCGTAGTGAGCCGCATGTCAGGCTTCTTTCTCTAGCAGGCTGCAGTGGAGGCGGTGAACAGCTGCAACTCTAACATCTGTCTCGAGCTCTGCCCCCCCCAGCCGATTGGCTCTTCCAGCCTTCTTGTCAGGTACTCAGTCGTGTTAATGAGCCAATCTGAGGTATGTTAGGGAAACGATGCTGACGTGACAAAAGTTAACAGTTAACAAATAAAACCAAACCCATGCAAATGCACCACAATAAGAAAAACATGCACATCACAGCAACATGAAGGTTCTGCCTGATGACACCCATCATTACTTTCTCCAGCTTAAAGCAGGCAGTACTCACAACAATGCATGGAAGAACAAGCTGCAATAATATATAAACAATAATAAAGATTTAGATCATATTTGAATGATTGTAAAGCATTTGTATTAATAAAGGTTTAAATCTTAATAGTGTGAACACTGCTTCAGCATTCTGCTGCTACTAATAATAATAAGTGCTGTTCATGTGCAGGAAATAATCACTCCGCTGATTTACAACTCTTTAAGGAGAAAATCAGTCCTGAGAAATCTACATGTATTTGCTGACTGTCAGAAAAATTGTGTACATTTTATGTATATTTGGAGTGATGCAACATCCTTCATCTATATCCTTCAAGCTCGGTCCTCTACCAGAGGCCTGGGAGCTTGAGGGTCCTGCAGCATCTTAGCTGTTCCCAGGACGGCGCTCTTCTGGACAGAGATCTCCGCTGTTGTTCCCGGGATCTGCTGGAGCCACTCGCCCAGGTTCGGGGACACTGCTCTGAGTGCTCCGATTACCTCGGGGACCACTGTTACCTTCACCCCCATGTTCTCGTTCTTCCTGATGCGGCCATCATCACTACAGCTCTCTTCTTCTGCTTGTCCACCACCGCTGTGTCCGGTTAGCCATCACCATTCGTCTGTATCTGGAAACCCCATCAGAACCGTTATCAACCACTCTTCCTTATTATATCTCTCCACCTGTTTCCTTACCTTAATTTCACTTACCTCCACCTCGTCCTTACTCTGTTGTTGGGACTGCTGTCCTTCTGCCGGCACTTCACAGCTGCAGCTACAACAGCAGCCTCCTGTGGCTGTGGGCTCCTTGTGAGATCTTGCTTGTCCTGTTATTAGCAGCAGCAGCAGCTAACATGTTGGTTCATTTGGTACACTTTGCTATATCGATCTTTGTTTTTCTCTCTTAGCTTTTCGTCACTTCTTCCACACCAAACTGTGCAGGCTGTGGTTTTTTCAGTAAACAATAAAATACCAAAAATGAAAAATATGTGATTTCATAGTTTTATATTATAATTATTTGGCTACACAGATTAATCTGAGGTGGGCCCCAGCCATATAATCTTATGAGGTTCTTGACACAGTCATCCTTTTATTTGTTAGATCTTGATGAACACTCTAGTTCAGGGGTGTCCAACTCCAGGCCTCGAGGACACAACAAGTCCTGCAGGTTTTAGATGTGTCCTTGATCCATCACAGCTGATTCAAATGGCTGAATGACCTCCTCAACATGTCCTGAAGTTCTCCAGAGGCCTGGGAATGAGCTCATCATGTGACTCGGGTGTGTTGACCCAGGGTGAGATCTAAAACCTGCAGGACACCGGCCCTCGAGGCCTGGAGTTGGACACCCCAGGTCAAATTTATATGCACAAGTTTCTCCTTGCTGTTGTCGTACTGAAAGAGATTACATTTGCCTCTCATTACATCTGAGAGAGGCAGTCGATTGTTTACTAGTAAACAATCTTAAACTTTTAATCAAAACTATAAAAATCTAAAATATAACCAAATAATGATTGGACGTCCAGGAGAGAGAAGGCATACAAAAATACTTCTTCAAGAACTCTGTGCAAACAGAATAAGTTCTTCCTTTCACCTCCTGGTGAAATACATTTAAAAAGCTGGTGTACAACACTACAGAGTACTAAGGTTACATTAAGGAAATATGTCATTGATCATGTTGAGAATAAAGTTGAAATTTCAAAGTTAAGTTGAAAATCTGCTGAAATGTGCAGACTGAAGTTGTTTGGAGACAAACGGCCAGTTTCTGCAGCTGAGTCAGCTTTAGTTTCTCTCACTGTGGTGATGAGAAATCTGCACATTTCAGCTTTCTACTCAAAATGATTCTTTTTAAACACACGTACAGAAGCCTATTCATCACAGGAATGCCAGGAAGTGCAATGGAACGAAAATATTTATTCAGGTTCCTGTACTTGGTACAGCACACGACTGCAACAGGTGACCATGCTGGCTTTGTAAGGAACAGAGTGTGTGTGTGTGTGGTCCTGTATGCAGAATAAGTCTCAGAACTGGATTGGTTATCCAACCTCAACTACACCTCAGTGCAATCAGACACCCGAGGTCAACGTTGGAAAACTGTCAGTAAATCTGTTGGATAGTGTTGAAATCAAAGAGCAGCAGGGTCACAAACCAAGCAGCAGGTGAGCGCACATATGCAAACTACACAATAAAATACACAACGTCAGTCACATGGAGTGGGCCACTTTCATTGTGCTCTATTGGTGCAGACAATAAGAGAAACTCTGAGTTACCAAATACTGACAAAAACAGACCGACGAGCCAGTTTCAAACCTCTGACTCTGACTGAGAGTTTGGGATATTTATTGGATTGATTTGACAGAAGTAGTTCAAGGTTTACTTTAAAAAAAAAAGGATTATGTTGACACAACAAGAACTTTCAAACATTTCCCCAAAGAATAAAACTTTGCCAATCAAAGAGTCAGAATCCCGACTGCCTCTTAATTCAGTGCACGTATGACGCTGCTGAGCATCGACTGCAGCAGCGTCATAGAAACATCTTATTAGTTGTTGGAGGTGGTTAAACCCTGACACGAAGCACAGCATGCACACACCATAAAGGACCACATTAACTGTGAACCTGATTGAATCACCAGCTGGGAAAAGTCATTACGTGTGGCACAAACAGCACAATTTACAGGATGAACTGAAGTGTTATAGTTATTACATGGGTCGCATCACACTGGTGCACAAGAGCGACCAGCGAGGTGAGAAGAAGAATGTCCGAGCGCACTGGAAGGATCCATAACTTAGGCTGCTACAGCAAGACGGGTCCTGCAGGGCCCGCGCTGTTAGCTTGATTTAACTCAGCTGTCCTCCACTCTGTACAAGCTGTCGACCCAAAGTCCTTACAGCAACCTGCAATACTTTGTGTAAAGCACCAGAATAATGAGCACTCATGATGAGGCTGAAAGCAGTTCATTACTGGGAGGGATTGGGCTCATCGTTATTGGTAAAGAAACATACTGCAAACGTCTATCAGCTGTTGAGGTTGTAATGACTTTGTGTTAAACAGAGGTTCAAAAATAAAGGATTGTTTTCCACAGTGCAGACGAGCTTTCTGTTGGAGGCTATGAAGGTGGATCTTTGAAAGGTTAAATATTAACCATATCCATGTGGCAAAGTCAAACTCTGGAATTCAATACAAAAAATGTAATAGTTGTTCTGAGACATTAAATGCATACAGTACAGGAGCACAGGATGTGAGGGGGACGCAGCAAAGCCTGCAGTCTGGAATTTGGCAGCTGAAGTCCGTGGCCTGCTCCGGGCTCAGTCGTTGATCAAAGCCAGGATCATGCTGGAAAACACAAGTCGGATATGTGAGTGCAAACAGCAAAGACAGCCCTGGACGTGTTAGCAAAGTGTGCGTGTGTCACCTGTACAAATAGATGAAGAAGCAGAGCAGGTGGTAACCCAGTTTAATCATGGCCTCCTTCATGTGAGACTTGAGCAGACCTCTGTTGTGGATCTCCGTTGGGTCAAACACTCCCATGTTCCCCATTGGAACCTTCAAGTACCTGCAGGGTGAAACGGATCAAGATGACACACCCGGCAGACTCTAAACACCAGTACGACTGTTCCAGCTGATCGTCTGTGACCGAAGGTTTAGTCACTGGTTAGTACTGTTAAGGTGTCTGCTGGTCCCGACACAGTATAACCCTGCTCTTTGATAGAACATGAGAAGGAAGAGCTTCTGCCACTCGCCTGATGAAACGATTCATTTGTCGCTCTTTGTGTAAAGGTCTGAATAACGGTACAGTACATCCAAACCTTTATTTTGGTAACCAACTGCAGTTCCTCAGCTTTCTAGATGTATGAAGAAAGTCCACGAGAGTCTGAGAGCAAAGTGCTCTAATGGTCATTAAGATAAGATTCAACACATTGTATACTGCAGCGCAGTACCTGTAACACCTACAGCTGCTCTAATAGGATATTATGGTCGACAGTATCGAACGCTGCACTGAGGTCTAGCAGGACAAGCACAGAGATGAGTCCACTGTCAGAGGCCATAAGAAGATCATTTGTAACCTTCACTAAAGCTGTTTCTGTGCTGAGCTCTGAAACCTGACTGAAACTCTTCAAATAAACCTCTGCAGATGATCTGTTAGCTGTTTGACAACTACTCTTTCAAGGATGTTTGATATAAAGGAAGGTTGGAGATTGGCCTATAATTAGCTAAGACTGCTGGGTCTAGAGATGCTTTTTGAGTAAAGGTGTAACTACAGCCAGCTTGAAGGCCTGTGGCACATAGCTGATCATTAGAGATAGGTTGATCATATTTAAGATCGAAGAATTAATTAATGGCAGGACTTCTTGTAGGAACGAGCTCTGACTTTTGTCAGGTCTGTGTAGGTTCTCGGGTCATGCTAGTCTTAAGCTTGGAAAGCTCGACTCCTTTAAGAAATAAGTGCTTAAAGTTTTACATGTTTTGTGCCAGTACAGAACATGACATCATCTGATTGGTTAGTTGCTGCTAATGGACTTGCATTAGTTTATTAGCCAACTAGTGACAGAACCAATAACAAGGAGTTTCGTGTTAACAAATATAAGGACGTACTGTCCACTTTCACTCTGTCTTCAGCAGTAAGTGCTTCAGGAAACAGGAGCATCCAGCTGTTAGCTGTAATGTTGGGTTTTATACAGTGGGCTTAAATGAGAGGTGTGTAGAGGAGCCTGTTTGAGTCTGATTTTCCTCATGTGGCTGGATGCAGCGAGCGGTGCAGTCAGCCCATGTGATCAGCTCTATTTCAATCGTCTCCCAAGCAAAACAGTAAAACAACAGGTTCCTACGTGCACACCACAAACAACTATGTATCTTGTTGAAGCACAACTGGGAAAAATAGGTCGATGCGTGCAATCGGAAAAAAGAAATAAAATGGTGACTGCGAGGAAGAGACACGATCTGAACTGTCTGGTGTGCTTGAGAGAGACTGTATGAAATGACAACGACTGCATTGCTTTGCCTGGAGATCGTACGGCTTGGTGCATCCAGCCTGGCGAGGAACATACCAGCGTCACAGTCCAGCTGGTTGGTCTGGTGACTCAAACAGGCTCTCCTCCACACAGGTCTCATTTATAAAGTGCTTTACAGAACCGAACATACAGCTAACACTTCCTGTTTCAGTGCAGCAGTGCACACTGCTGTACCAAGGGACAATACAACAGTGATGCCCACAGACTCATTTTGAGTTTTGGTCACTAGTCTGCTAACAAATGAATGTAAGCAGCATTAGCACCAGCCAACCTGGTGACATCATGTTCTGTACCGACACTAGATGGCACTAAACATGTTTTAAAGCACTTGTTTCTTAAATCCAGCGACACAGACAGTTATTCATGTTAGCCTGTATACATGTAGTGTTTCAGGTCCACTTTAAATATTGGGATTTTTATCTTTTGGCTTTAGAACCCAAGAAGCCTCTTGGGTGAGGGCCCGATCATTGCTGCTTTAATTATTTTTCCAACCACGTGACATAAAAGGAACAACTACAAAAGAGAAAGGATCCCGACATGCACGTGTAGCCGTGGTGGACCTAACTGATGCTGAGACTGGATGGGCATACCTGTAAATGTTCCAGGCTGCTACAGGCAGGTTGAGGAGGAGGATGAACCAGTGCATCGAGACCAACATGAGCATGGTGGAAAGACACTGGGCAACCATCTCTGGAATTACCCACTAAACATCAAACAAACATTTGAATTACAGATTAGAAATCTGAGTGTGAAAATGATCTTTACAGTCGGTTACAAAAAGAAAAGCGATGATTATTTCATAAACGACGGGGGGTAAAAGATCAACTGCATAATCAACCATATCTATGAAATCAATAAGACAACTTACTTTGTTCAGCTTGGAACAGCAGGCTCTAGCATTGATGTAGTCACATTCTAGGTCAGACAAGGTTATAATCTATATTTCAAGTTAAGGTACAATGTGCTGTGAAAAGGATGTTGCATTCAGGACCTCGACTGGCTCCTTCGATTATCCTTTAAAATATATACATACATATTAAGGATGTGCTGGACTGGCCTCATTTTTCATCGCCGATCGGTCCAGCAACAGTGGACCCACGCACCGCAGCGCTGCGTGGGTCACCCAGCGCTGCGTGGGACTGAAATATAAAAGCCGACAGTGTGAAATGAAACTATCAGTACAGAGATATTTGCAGATAGCGGCTCTTCGTGACTGCTAACTCAAAACACTCTACAAACTTTCATACACTTATTCCGTCACACAAGCCCGACTACAACGCTCATAACAAGGCGGCTAACAAGCTAGCTGGCTGCTATTAAATTAGCTTTTTTATACGGAGAAGACTTCAGCAAAGCTCTCGGACAGAAAACCGCTTTGACGCAGACGAGTACCGTCGCCCGACTCACTGAATCGAAAAGGATACGAAGTAAACTGAGAGGAAAATCAGCGCACAACAATCCACAAGAGACAAAATGAACACTGCCGCTTCCATGTTCCCTTTTCCGCAAGTAGTTTTTATTTCCGGACAGTTGACGCGTTTGTGCTGCCGGGAGTTGTGACAGTGTCAATGCAGCGCTGCCACCTAGCGGACTGGAGTGGACATGGTTGACTCAAGACAACCATGGATCCAGACAAACTGTAACAGTGGGTTTTTTTTCTGTCAACACTGACTTAAAATAACGACGTAACATAACATAAAACCCAAAAAACGCACCTTTAGGAACTCCTGGCTGTCTCTGTATTTAACAAGACAGTAAACATCAAATAGCAAAAATATTATAAGGCGGCTTCAGCAGAACAGATGCTCGGTGTGCTGTTGGTTATGGGGAAATGGAGGCTGCAGGGGGGATGCGAGAATGCTAAAGCCTGGAGGCAGAAGCAAGAGGGAATTTTCTTTTATCCTAATCCAAATGGAGTTTGTAATAAGATAAGATAAGATAAGATAACCTTCATTAGTCCCACGCGTGGGAAATTTGTTTTGTCACAGCAACTTCCTGCTGTGACAAAACAAATTTCCCACGTGCAAAAGTTGTATAGAAAAAATTAGAATACAATGAGAATAAAATACTGTACACAACTGTACAGAATAGAATAAAATAAAATACTATATACAGTAGAATAAAATAGAATAAAATATACAATAGGACAAAAATAGAATACAAATTCTATATACAACTGAGTAAAAATCCAACTTTGTCAGAAAAGAGTATTGAACTTCAGCGGAAGAAGGAAAAACGTTTTAAGAGCCAATAAGGAGGAAACACACTCAGGACAGTGTTATGGTCAGGACTCTTACATGCTATTGGTGTTTTATATTTTTTTGTTATTAAGATAAGACTTTATTGATCCCACAACGGGGAAATTTTTGCGTCACCTCAGCTCAAGTACAGATATATGAAGGAAATACAGAAATACAATTAAGTACAATCAATGAAAAAAAGTAAGATAATACACTATATACAATGGTAGCATACACAGTATGTGATTATGGATATGGTTGGAAATATGGAAGACATAAACTATATAGCTTGGAAGGTCAAGGAAGGTCCATTATGCATGAAGTGGTGACCGTGGATGTTCAGTGTCCAGTGACTCATGACATCATGATTGAGGAGTTATAGCCTAACTGCTGTTGGGATGAATGATCTGTGAAAGCGCTCCTTCCCGCAGCGAGGGTGTTTCAGTCTCTGACTAAAGGAGCTGCTCAGCCCACTCACAGACTCATGCAGTGGGTGATGTGGGTTGTTCATGATGGATGTCAGCTTTACTAACATCCTCCCCTCACCAACCACCTCCACAGACTCCAGGGGACATCCCAGCACGGAGCCAGACCTCCGCACCAGTTTGTCAATCCTGCTCCTGTCCCTGTCCGTGCATCCACTCCCCCAGCAGGCCACTGCATAGAAAAGGGCAGATGCTACCACAGTGTCATAGAATAACAGAGTCCTGCAGACTCCGTAGGACCTCAGTCTCCTCAGCAAGTGGAGTCGACTCTGGCCCTTCTTATACAGGACGTCTGTATTTGTAGTCCAGTCCAGTTTCTTGTTGAGGTGAACACCCAGGTACTTATAAGAGTCCACTATCTCAATGTCTTTCCCTTCGATGTTCACCGGTGTTGCAGGGGGTGACTTCCTCCTGAGGTCTATGATCATCTCCTTTGTCTTGCCGGCATTGATTTGGAGTACGTTGGTCTCACACCAGCCAACAAAGTCACTGATGACCCCCCTGTATTCCTGATCATTCCCGTCTGATACGCATCCAATGATGGCTGTATCATCAGAGAACTTCTGTAGATGGCAATCGTCCAAATTATAACAGAAGTCTGAAGTGTAAAGGCTGAACAGGAAAGGTGAGAGAACCGTGCCCTGTGGCGCCCCCGTGCTGTAGATTACCGCCTCAGACACACAGTCATGGAGCCTCACATACTGTGGTCTGTTGGTAAGGTAGTCGACGGTCCATGCAGTCAGCTGTGTGCCTACTCCGGCTCCCTCCGGCTTCCCTCTCAGTAGTGCGGGTTGGATGGTGTTGAAAGCACTGGAGAAGTCAAAAAACATGATCCTCACAGTGCTCCCCGTCTGCTCTAAGTGAGAGAGGGATCGGTGTAGCAGGTAGATGACAGCGTCATCCACCCCAATTCCAGAAGGGTAGGCGAACTGCAGGGGGTCCAACACTGAGCCCACCAGTGGCTGAAGGTAGTGCAGGATGAGCCTTTCCATGGTCTTCATCAGATGAGAAGTCAAGGCAACAGGCCTGAAGTGGTTGGGCTCCCTGGGGTGTGCGATTTTTGGCACCGGAACCACACAGGAAGTCTTCCAGAGTTCAGGAACCCTCTCCAGGCTCAGGCTCAGGTTGAAGATGTACAGGGCCACCTGACAGAGCTGGTCTGCACAGTCCCTGAGAAGTCTGGAGCAGATTTCATCCGGACCTGCTGCCTTCCTTGCCTTCGTCCTCTTGAGCTGATTTCTCACCTGATCAGCTGTGAAGGAGATGTGAGGCTGGGCTGGAGTGGGGGGTGGGGCTCGCTTCGTTGTGGATAGATGTGTGGATAGGGGTGAAGCAGAGTTGTGGTGAGAGGAGAGCTCAGGTGACAATGGCATTGCACCCGGAGTGGGGGGGGTGGGGGGGGGGGGGGGGATGGAGGGGGGTTAATGGAACCTGGGGGGTGGGAGAGGTGATCAGTGGGCCATTGTCAAATCTGTTAAAAAACAGATTCAAGTCGTTAGCCCACCCCCGGCCAGCAGACACTGTGGCTCCTCCATTATCCTGGAAATGTCCAGAGATTTGTTTCATGTTCCTCCAGACTTCTTTGACGTTATAGTGCTAATTATTTTATTATTTTATTGTTGCATTGTCTATGTTCTCTATCACTGTGTATGATGGTACAGTTCTACTTTGCTATAGCTGTGTGCTATAGATTTTTACCTGTGAACATAATCCCACACTTATATGACTCCGATGTTTTAGTGTAAATCATTTTATTGTTTTATTGTTTTATGTAAAGCACTTTGGCATGCCCCTGGCTTTTAATGTGCTATATAAATAAAGATTGTTGTTGTTGTTGTTGTTGTTTGACGTTTTTCTGTTGGAGTTGGTTTTCCATCTTCCTACTGAAGCACTCCTTGCCTTCTTGGATCTTGTATTTAAGATCCTTTTGGACTTTCTTAAGTTCCTCCTTGTCTCCCGACCAGAAAGCACTCTTCTTCTTGTTCAGCAGGGCCTTCAGTTCTGGGGTGACCCACGGTTTATTGTTTGAGAAACACTGTATCTTCTTGGTAGGCACAGTGTTCTCAACACAGAAATTAATGTAGTCCGCGATGCAGTGAGTGAGGTCGATGTCCTCACCGTGAGGCTTGCAGAGTTCCTGCCAGTCTGTGCATTCAAAACAGTCTCTTAAGGCCTCAGTGCATTCCTCAGACCACACCCTTATCACCTTCTTCGTGGGGGGGTTCCTCTTCACCATGGGAGTGTAGGTGGCGTGGAGAAGGACCAGGTTGTGGTCTGAGTGGCCAAGCGGGGGGAGGGGTGATGCACTGTAAGCCTGCTTTGTGTTGGCAAACAATAGATCCAGGGTTTTGCTGTCCCTTGTATGTCAGTCAACGTACTGGGAGAAGTTTGGGAGAGTGACAGATAGTGAGGCATGATTGAAGTCCCCAGAAATAATAATGAGGGACTGTGGATGTGCCATCTGTAGCTGAGACAGTGGAGTGAATGTACTCACAGGCTGCTGTAGCGTCGGCCGAGGGTGGGATGTAAACAGTCAGCACAATAACGTGTGAAAATTCCCTGGCCAGGTGGTATGGCCGGACGCTAACTGCCAACAGTTCAATGTCTTTGGTACAGCTCTGTTCCTTCACAGTGATGTGTCCCGGGTTACACCATCTCTCACTGACATACATTGCTAGTCCCCCACCTCTGCTCTTACCACTCTCCATTGCACTCCGGTGCTCTAACCAGTTGAAAGCCATCCAGAGTTATAACAGTCCGGTGTGTGGTCCATGAGCCATGTCTCAGTGAACAGGAGGAGGCTGCTCTGCTTGTACTCCCACTGCAGTCTGGTTAGCGCAATTAGCTCTTCCATCTTGTTGGGTAAAGATCTTACATTACCCATGAGAATGGATGGAATGCTTGGTTTGTACCGTCTCCTTCTTTCCTGGTACTTCACTCCAGCCCTGCGTCCCCTCCTCCAACGTTGTAATTCCTTCGGAATCTTGGGTCGCTCCTCTGGGAGTACTTTCCTGTTGCCCAGTGCTAGCAGCTGCTCCGTACTGTAAACAATGGCTTGGCTTACAGATTCTCCAGAAGTGGTGGTAAAAAGTCCCAAAAAGAGTAGAAGACATACTACTACTCTCATGAAAATTTGTGGGTCCATGTCCCGTTGCACAAGAAATAAAACACGACCAAGAGTGTCAGGTAAAAAAAGCTTAAAGCACAAGAAAAAACAGAAAGGAAAGGAAAAAGCTGGGAGCTGAGGAAACAGGCTGCCTACCGTGGCGCCATCTTGGATGGCGGATAGCCTGCAAAGTGGACATGCTACTGGAATGGATACCAGGAAACCAGGAGTTCCAGTTCCAGGAGATATTTTGTTTGGAGGAATTTTTCCCATTGACAAAGACGTGGGGACAAAGAACAAAACCTTTGCTCGACACCTGCAGTCTTCTATCAGGTAAGGTCTTAGTGTCAAGATAATCTGTTTCTCATCAGCTTCACAAATCGTGACTGTGTTGAGCATCCACTGAGTGGTAATTTGGCTCCTAAATGTTATTTTCACTATCTTCTAAGCCCATAACAGAATTCCATAATTAATATAATTCCTGCACAAAAAATAAATGGTAGAGAAAAATATGTACCAATGCATACTGTATCCAAGCACAAAAGCAGGCGACTGGATCTTGGGACGTTTACACATTTTGACGGACATGAAATCTTATGATCGAAATGTGAAGTTAACAAAACCATCACAGGGTCAAATATAAAAACACAGAAAACAACAGTAAGTCTCAGTTAATTCAGACCTTTATGCTACAAACTGTG